GCCCCGCCGCCTCCGCGGGCCCCGCCCCCAGGGCGCACGGAGATGACGCAAACGCTTACTATTGGCCGCGGGTCCCGGCCCTCCTCGCGCTCCCATTGGCTGGCGGCCGGGACGCTCTCAAGGCGGGAAGCTCGTGGAGCGCGGAACCCTGGCGGGATGGAGCGGCTGCGGGACGTGCGGGGCCGGCTGCAGGCGTGGGAGCGGGAGTTTGCGCGGCTCCACGGGCGGCGGCCCTGCCAGGTGAGGCCCTGCCAGGCGGGGGCCGGGCCGGGCCGGGGCCGGGGCCTCCACTGACGCGCTCCTCCCGCAGGATGATGTGGAGGCGGCGCCGGAGGAGACCCGAGGTGAGCCCGCGGCCGGGCGCGGCGGGGCCGGGCGGCACGGAGGAGTCTCGGCCGCACCCTGACCCGCTGTCGCCCACCCAGACCTCTACAGGGAGTATCGTACTTTGAAACAAGCTGTGCGTCAGGCCTGCGGCGCGGCCCGCAGCTCCGGACCGCCGCTTCCCGCGGTGACCCAGGAGGTACCCAGCCCCGTCACCCCCGCTCCCCAGGCAGCTTCCTATATACGTGGCCAAGTGGCAGACGCCGTAAACAATCGCAGCCAGGCCTCTATCGTAGCAGAACTTGAGGGAAGAAGGGGCAGGGTGATCCGCGCCCATGGCTTGCTTCCGTGTGGACTGCTGCTGTCTCCCGCAGGCACCAGAGCCCAGCTGCTGGGGACCCCACCTGAATCGGGCTGCAACCCAGAGTCCACAGCTTACTGTAGCGCAGAGCCGGTGGGCATCATCTGTTCAGGACTATGGGAAGAGGCTCAAGGCCAATCTGAAGGACACCACCCTGCAGGTGACAGGGGGCAGTGGTCTGGTCAGTGCATCCAAGCCAGGCACAGAGCTGCCTTTGGCCCAGGAGCAGGTTCACCAAGTGCCCCTTCTGCCCACCCTTCCCCATATCCATGTACAGATGGGCAGTCTCCTACATTGCCTGGTCTGTACTCTTGAGATGTGTTCAGGGAACCCTTGCCTTCAGCTTCCGGACCCAGCCTCCTGCCACAGCAACTCCTGGGCACAAGTCCCTGCTTACTGTCTTATCCTCCACCTCCCAGATTGGGCCAGCCCTGGGCAGAAGATTCCAGTCTTCACAAAGGCCCTTGTCCAAGGTGCCCACCCCAAGGCCACCAGATGCGAAGACCACCTCCACCCATGCAGATGAGATTGGTGATGTATTTCTCCAGCCTTCTGGACCCCAACCAATGCCAGGCCGACTCCAGCGGCTCCAGGCATCCCGGCGCCTTGGTCTGGGCTCTCTAGACCCCCACTGGCTGCAGCGGTGTCAGAACATGGCCTCTGATTTTCCGGAGGCCCCCAGTGCCTGCTGGCCTGGCCTGGGTGCAGAGGAATCACATTCTGTGGCCTCGGGTGATTTGGCCATTCTTGGCCCTGACACTCAGGCCGAGGCATCTCCTCCGGGCCCAGAGGCTTCTTCCCCACAGGCAGCTAGGGTTGCTTTGGGGAGCCCCCCACTCAGCAACAGTAAAAAGAAGTGGAAGTGGAGTAAGGAGAACTGGGGGAGCCCTGCACAGGGCCATTGGGTCAGCAGCCACACAGCGCCTGAGGGGGCTGTGGCAATGGCTTCAGCACTTGAGAAAGACTCTTCAGAAGAACAGATAGAGGTGAAACCTCCGCAGCCGCACAGCAGCTCAAGTGGAGTCAGGGCAGAGAAGGCCGAGGTCATGGCCCACATGCACACGCCCCCTCGACCAGCTGGCCTTGACAGGGGTAATTACGTTCGTCTCAACATGAAGCAAAAACGCTATGTGCAGGGTAGGACCTCTCGAGGCAGGCTCCTTCAAAAGCAGGTGAGATAGGAAGGGTGGGAAAGCGTTTGTCTTCCCCTTGACACTCTGTTGTACTGTTTCTGAATGGTTCTCCCTTTGTTTACTCCCCAGGTCCAGAAGCAAAAGTGGCAAAAAAAGGGGGAACGTTTTAGGGGTGGTAGACTTAGAGCCACAGTTGAGGATTCTTGTTTCCAGTGTGGGAAGTTGGGCCACTGGGCATCTCATTGCCCCCAGCCAGGTAAGACCGCCGCCCTGAGAAAGGGTCAGCCGCCACTGCAGAGAGGGTGCTGTGCTACACAAGGGTACTTCTTCCGAACAAAGGGTCCAACCAGTTCCTCACCCCAGGTCCAAGCACCATCCAGAAGGAGGGTAGCAAGGACAAGGATGGTGTACAGCCCTCTTCTGCTTTGGACAAAGCAGCTCAGTTGACAGGCACCACTTACTCCCACCCCCCTGGTGAGTGAGGGGGAGGGGGTGCTCCTAATCAGTAGCTCCTGTGCCAAGATGATTTTGGCCCAACCCTGAGCTACCGTAACATTAGCTTCTTGTTTACCTTACCAGGTGAGGACACAGAACCTACTGAGCCCCAGCTCCAGGCCCCCCACCCTTCCCACTCAGTGCGGCCCCTCTACCCACCAGGGCCCTCAGGGCAGGTGGCAGGTGAGCAGAATCTTACTGCTCCAGATCTTTACTGATGGGTGGAGACACTCAGGGCCCTGATGGTCAACGCCTGTGTCCACAGAGACTCCTCTTGAGGTGTTCCAGGCCTTGAAGCAGCTAGGGCACCAAGCCTTCCGCCCTGGGCAGGAGCAAGCGATCATGCGAATCCTGTCTGGTGAGTGTGCCGCCGAAGGCCAGAGCAACGCTGGCTGTAGTCTGGCAAGCAACTAAGCCTTACAGCTACCTTTTCTCTTGTCCAGGCATCTCCACGCTGCTGGTGCTGCCCACAGGTGCTGGCAAGTCCCTGTGTTACCAGCTTCCCGCACTGCTGTATGGCCAGCGTGGTCCCTGTGTTACGCTGGTGGTCTCTCCCCTCCTGTCACTCATGGACGACCAGGTGTGTGGACAAGGCCCTCAGCACTTATGGAATGCATTGAGAACTTTGAGCTGCTGCTTGTTTCCTGAGCCCACTGAGAACTGCCTTCTTCCCTTCCTTCCTTTCTTTCCTTTTCTTGTGTGCCAGTAGTCCTGGGACTCGAACTTGGGGTCTGGGTGCTGTCCCTGAGCTTTTGTGCTCAAGGCTAGCACTCTACCACTTGAGCCAGACACAGCTTCGTTTCTGGCTATTTTGGTGACTAATTCGAGATAAGAGTCCCATGGGCTTTCCTGCTTGGGTAGGCTTCAAACCACAATCCTCAGACCTGAGCTTCCTGAGTAGCTAGGTAGGATTATAGGTTTGAGCCACCGGCACCCACCCAACCATCTAGGTCCCTAGCCCCAGCATTCCTGAGCTCAGGCCCAGGGGTTTCTCCTAACCCTTCATCCCAGGAGGGATTCAGGGGTTACCAGGTCTGAGCTATCCCGTGACAGCACTGTATCTACAGGTGTCCGGCTTGCCCCCCTGTCTGAAGGTAGCCTGCCTCCACTCAGGAATGACCAGGAAGCAGCAGGAGTCTGTCTTGAAGAAGGTCAGGAGGGCTTTGCACACAGTGTACAGCGTGGGCAGGGGGCAGGCACCCAAGCGCCACCCTAACCGCTTCCTGCAGGTACAGGCGGCCCAGGTGCAGGTGCTGCTGTTGTCCCCGGAGGCCCTGGTTGGGGTTGGGACCAGAAGCCCCGGCGCTCTCCCCCAGGCTGCCCAGCTCCCGCCAGTGGCCTTTGCCTGCATCGATGAGGCCCACTGCCTCTCCCAGTGGTCACACAACTTCCGGCCTTGTTACCTTCGTGTCTGCAAAGTAAGCCGTAGGTGGGGGTCAAGGGAGGAGTGGTGAGGCCGGGTAGATGCGGGAGTGCCTCACTGTGGCTCCCGCCCCAGGTGCTCCGGGAGCAGCTGGGTGTGCGCTGCTTCTTGGGTCTCACAGCCACGGCCACGCGTGGCACGGCCCGTGATGTGGCCTGGCACCTAGGTGTCTCCGAAGACCTTGACCTCGTCGGTACGTCGCCCACCATCCCCGCCAACCTGCATCTCTCCGTGTCCATGGACAGAGACCCAGAACAGGTAAACAAGCACACCCCAGGAGCTGGGACAGAGGCTTCTCCTCCTGTGCCCACCTACTGCTCTCCGTCAGGCTCTGGTGACACTACTACAGAGTGACCGGTTTCGTTCCCTGGATTCCGTCATTGTTTACTGCAACCGACGTGAGACTACAGAGAGGGTTGCTGCGCTCCTTAGGACATGCCTGTGTGTGGAGAGAGGCCCAGGACCTAGAGGTGAGCAGAGGCGCGGTCAGGGCCTGCCACAGCCTGCCGGGGCCCGCTAACCACAGTCCGCCTTGCCCAAAGGTCAGGCCCCTGAAGCTGTGGCTGAAGCGTACCACGCTGGCATGTGCAGCCGGGAGCGGCAGCGAGTGCAGCGGGCTTTCATGAAGGGCCAGCTGCGTGTAGTGGTGGCCACCGTGGCCTTTGGGATGGGGCTGGACCGGCCAGACGTGCGGGCTGTGCTGCACCTGGGACTGCCCCCCAGCTTCGAGAGCTACGTGCAGGCGGTAGGGCGCGCCGGCCGCGACGGACAGCCCGCACACTGCCACTTATTTCTGCATCCCCAGGTGGGCATCCCACCACCACTCCTGCCCTGGATGCCGGCCCTCCCCCTGTACCACGTGGGCCCTGGTTGCTGCCTTATTCCCACTGTTCCAGACCAGCCCAGGTGCTGACTGGACGTGACTCTCCTGCTTCAGGGTGAAGACCTGCAGGAGCTGCGCAGACATGTGCACGCCGCCAGCACCGACTTCCTGGTTGTGAAGAAGCTGGTGCAGCGGGTATTCCCACCCTGTGCCTGCCCTTGGCTGCCCCCAGAGCAAGCCGAGGGTATCACCGGCGTGAGGCCTGTGGCCAAGTCGAAGGCCAGGCCCAGTGGCCAACAAGCAGCTCGTGTGCCAGGACCAGCATGCCCAGGCCATGAGCGGGCACTCCCAGTGCAGCCGACGGTGCAGGCCTTGGACCTGCCGGAGGAGGGTGAGGGGCCAGGGAGAATGGGGGGTGCATGGAGGGGCCTTCCCCACGCGCCCTGAGCCCTGCTTTGCCCACAGCCATTGAGACTCTACTGTGTTACCTGGAGCTGCACCCCCAGCGCTGGCTGGAGCTGCTGCCAGCCATCTACGCTCAGTGTCACCTGCATTGTCCTGGGGGCCGCACCCAGCTGGCCCACCTGGCCCACAAGTGAGCACACCCCGTCCAATTGAGGTTGAGGGCAGAGGACCAGGACTCTTAACCATATCTCAGGTTCCCCGGCCAGGTCTCCCCTTGTGGCTGCATGCTGGGCCAGGTGGCCGCCTGAGGACGCGTGTGGGGGCAGCTGCTCCCTGAAGTTGGACGTGGTGGAGCTCGCAGAGTCCATGGGCTGGGAGCTGGTCTCTGTGCAGCGGGCTCTCTACCAGCTGCAGCGGGACCCCGGGCCAAGGACAGGTGTGCCTACCCCTCCCCGACTCTGGGCTCGGCCTGTCCCCTGCCCACCACCTACATCTGACACACTTTCTAACAGATACGCTGCGGGACACCAGAGTGTTTGTGGAGTTCAAGGAGCTGGCCTTTCACCTGCGTAGCCCCGGAGACTTGACAGCTGAGCAAAAGGACCAGATCTGCGACTTCCTACATAACTGTGTGCAGGCCCGGGAGCGCAAGGCCTTGGCCCGTCTGCGCCGGATCTTTGAGACCTTTCACAGGTGGGGAAGACCCAGGGGGGCGCCACGCTGACCCCGGGGCAGTTCTGACAGGTGTGTCCCACCCCCAGCATGGCCTTCCCCAGCTGTGGGCCCTGTCTGGAGCAGCCTGACCAGGAGTGCAACACCCGACTAAAGGCCCTCATCAGCCACTATTTTGAGGAAGAGGAAGAGGAGGGTGTGGAGGAAGAGCAGGGCTCAGAGCCCGGGCAAGTGCAGGTGAGCGTAGTCCCTCTGAAGGTGATTGCTGAGGCAGTGGGGAGCAGCAGACCCACTGCACCCCATAGTCTGACCCCTGCCTTCTCTGGCTTGAGGCTTCCTAGACTGCTCCAAGCTTGGCTGGGAGCTCCAGGGAGATGGTGTGCCGCCCGCCCACAGGTCCAGGACTGGGAAGACCAGATCCGCCGAGACACCCGTCAGCTCCTGTCACTGTGGCCAGAGCAAAGCTTTTCAGGCCGGGCTGTGGCCCGTATCTTCCATGGCATTGGTGAGGACGAGAGGCCTCCAGATGCAGGGCAGGGACCAGTGGCTGGGACCAACCCAGTCAGACTGTGTCTCTGCTCCCCCTTAGGAAGCCCCCGCTATCCAGCCCAGGTTTATGGGCAGGACCGACGCTTCTGGAGAAAGTACCTGCACGTGAGCTTCCGTGCGGTGATGCGCTTAGCCACGGAGGAGCTTCTGGTGAGGGACAGGTGACCACCTTGCACAGGGGGCATTGCCCCACAGACATGACACAGCCTGGGCTCTGTGGCCACTCCACGAGGTGTCAGGCGTGTGACTCATCAAGACAACACTGGCCCTCAGTGGCCAGGACAGTAACCACTAGACAAAACAAACCAGCATTGGTGGGACAAGAAGGCTCCAAAATGCAGAATAAAACACACAGTGATGTTACAGGCCCTTCTTTCTGATGACAACCCTCAATCTGGCAGGACAGGCCCTCAGGCCCTAACCCGGGCTTTAATAGGGAAAATGGCTGCTTAGGGTGAGGGTGGGAATTTGGTCAGAGGAGAGCAATCCCGGTGGGGGGTGGGAGGAGCAGATTTGGTTGGGGATGGCTCACCAGTGCCCACCCAAGGAGAAGCTGGGAATAAAGCAAAGTCAGTTGCATCTCATAATGTTCCTTGCGTGTGGGGATTTATTGGCAGTCCTGTGATCTGACCCAGGCCAGGGTGCTGGGTGCCAGGCCCAGGCCCAGAAGAGGTAGGACTGAGAGTGTAAGGAAGAGAATGTGGCAGGGGTGCGGGCCGAGGCTGTCGGCCAGCACTCCAGCCAGGGCACCCAACAGCAGCTTGCCAGAAGCTCCAGGGTGGCGAGGAGGGTGTAATGTGTGGCCTATGGGAAGGAGCCTGGGTGAGGGCCGCGAGGCCCTGAGGCGCCCCTGCCACATCTGCTTACCTGCAGCGTCCTGGGTGCCAGCTGGCTGCAGTGCATCATCATGGTGAAGGTGGCTGTGGTGACCAGGCCCCCCAGGAAATGCTGCAGACACAGGCTCAGCAAGGCCATTCCTGGGAGGGCAGAGGTCAGCAGTGCCCAGGGTTCCCAGCCCCTCCCCGCCCTCAGGGTGGCGGCTTACTGCTCAGGGCCGTGCCAGTGGCCAGGCTGGCCCCTGGGGCATCCAAATGGAAGAGCAGGGCCGTCTGGCAGGCCAGGCCCCCAAGCCGTAGCCACAGCACTGACTTGAGCAGGGAAAGTGGCTGCCTAGGGTGAGGGTGGGAATTGGGTCAGGTCAGGATTCCAGGTAGGGGGTAGGAAAGGGAGTGAGCGGGCTGGCTGGGGAGGGCTCACCAGTGCCTGGTTAGGAGGGCCCCACACAAGGCAGAGCCAGCAATGGAGCACACCACGGCACCAAAGCTGTTCCACAGCCCCAGTTCCGGGGCAGAAGCTCCTCGGTCCAGCAGGAGAAGTGGAAACAGGCTGCCAGCACCCTGCTCACCTGCAAGAAGCCATAAGCAAGGGAGGTCTCCATACCTGCCAAACTCCTACTCTGCCTCGTCTTACGGGGCCACACATTGGGAGAGAAACGGCAGTAGGCATTGGTCAAGCCCAGGATCGCTGGGAAGCAACACCAGAACAGTTCCAAGGCTGCAAGCGGAGGTTAGTGAGAACAAGAGGCAAGGCCTGGGTGCCAAGCCGAGGCCCTAGAAGGAGGGCAGCCCCTCTGTGGGCCCAGAGCTCCTGGGGACTCTCACCCAGCTTGTAGGTGAGTACAAAGCCTGCTGTCCACAAGGTCCCAGGTACTGCCATCACGTCCCACGGGGGGTGGGAGGGCCCCGAGGGCGGAGGCCAGGGCAGCCTGCGCAGAGCTGGCGCGGCCCAGGCCAGCCCAGCGGCCAGCCAGTAGGTAGCGGCCAGCAGCATGAAGAGCAGAGGCCAGGACAGGCTGGGCAGAAGGCCCAGCAGCCCCCCGCCAGCCAACGCCGACCCCAGCTTGTAAGCCACCACCTGCACGGTGTTGCCTGGTCCCAGCTCCCCCGGCCCCAGGAGCCGTACGGCCGCCGAGTCCAGGGCCGCGTCCTGGACAGCCGCGCCCAGGTTCAGCAGCAGCAGCAGCCCCACTGCGGTGGCAGGGAGGCCGGCCCGGCCGGCCGGGGCGGGGGGCTTTTATATGTCGGGAGGTGCGAAGGGGCGGGTCCGGGAAGGCTGGGCCAATGGGAGCGAGAGGAGGACGGGGCGGGGCCAAGGTAGGTGGGCGGGGCCACACCCCTCCCGCCCGGGGACTCGGGTGGAGCCGCGGCCGCCACCCCGGGCCGCCCGGATCCCCGAGGCGGGGCGAGGCGGCCGCGCCTGCGGGGTCCCCCGTCGGAACCCCCATAGTCGCCCCCGGGATTTAGAGCTGGAACAGATGCCGGCTGTTCTTTGAGGCCTCAGTGTTCCATCCTTTAAAATGGGGAGAAGGGTCTGCTCGCCGGCCTTGGTTTTCCTGCTGTTTCCCCGAGTCGCTCCCGGGAGCTGCTGGGGGCCGATCCCCGAGGTCTGAGTGTCCAGTGGGTGCTAGCCTGCCTTTCAGCACTGCCCTTCAAGCCGGGACCGCCCAGGATCCTGGGGTGCCCGGGGCCAGGAGCTGACCCATGGGGCCTTGGCCTGGACACGGGGCCCGGGGCCAGGGGAACCGAAACCGGCTGGCGAGCCCCGGCTGCGCGTTTAGTCCTGTGTCCCTGCTCCGGGGGACTTTTCTTCTTCTTCTCCTTTTTAGCTAGCTGCTCTACTCATTAAGGTCTGGCTTTCTCAGCAGCCAGTGGCGCCCCAGGAAGTTTCTTGGATTCCTTAAGTCACTTCACTTGGCCAGACACATGTTCACCTGTGTCTTGTTTTTGTCAGTCGTGGGGCCTGAACTCTGGGCCTGGGCGCTGTCCCTCAGCTCTTCAGCTCAAGGCAAGCGCTCTACCACTTGAGCCACAGCGCCACTTCCAGTTTTCTAGGTTCATTGGAGCTAAGAGTCTCACCGGTTTACCCTGCCCCAGCCTGGCTTGGAACCGTGATCCTTAGATCTCAGCCTCCTGATTAGCTAGGATGACAGGTGGGAGCCACCCGTGCCCCTCTATTCACATGTTTTTTAGTATCAGCAGGGGTCACATGTTATCAACAGGTACCAGCCTCCAGCACCGTGTGTATGGGGGGGGGCAGGGGAGAGGGGCAGAGAAGTCTGAGAAAAGGAGAAATGCCTCATTTGTCATCAGAGAATCTTTGCAGCTGCTTCTGAGGGTGACAAGATGGCCAGATTGGGGAAGTAGTTTGTTTTGTTATTTTGTTTTGTTTTTGGAGGTGGTTTTGAGTAGGCAAAGTCTACTTAGCTTTTCCTCTGTGTGTTACGTTTGAACCAGGCATTGGTATGTGGACTATAGTCTTCTTCTTTTAAACTGCCCAATAAACCTCAAGGAAAACGATAGGTCAGGATGAGCCAGTGCCTGAGATTCAGGCCTATAATCCCAACTGCTCAGGAGTCAGAGACCTGACCATTCAAGGTTGAAGCCGGCAAGGGCAGAAAAGTCTGTAGAGACTCTTTTTCTGCCAAAAACCACCAAAAAACCAGAACTGGAGCTATGGCTCAAGCGGTAGAGCACCAGCCTTGAGTACAGGAGCTAAGGGACAGCCCCTGGGCCCGGAGTTTAAGCCCCAATACTAGGAAAAAAGAAAGGAAAGAGAAAGAAAGAAGAGAAAAGAGAGGGCTGGGAAGGTGGCTCAGTGGTAGAGCGCTTGCCTTGCATTCCTGAGGCCCTGGGTTCGATTCCTCAGCACCACAGAAGCAAAAAGAAAAGAAAAAAAGCCGGAAGTGGCGCTGTGGCTCAAGTGGTAGAGCTCTCACCCTTGAGCTGAAGAGCTGAGGGACAGCGCCCAGGCCCAGAGTTCAGGCCCCATGACCGGACCCCCCAAAAAAAAAAGAAAGAAAAGAAAGAGAATGCTGTAGTCGTGTGTATTTGTTTGCTGGGGTTTTGCTGTTTTTTGGCAGGAGTAGGATTTGATTTGAACTCTGAACTTGCTAGGCAAGTGCTTTACCTCTGGAGCCATAGCTAATTATCTGGTCTTCCTCCCAGCCCAGCCTCATCTTCCTCCTACCCAGATCCGTTTGCCTAGGAAAGGGAACACTGGCTGGGTTGTCTTGTCCTTGTCTAATACTTTCTGGCTGTGTGCTCTTGGGTGAGTAGCTTGACTTCTCTGGGCCTAGATGACCCTTATCAAAGCTAGGACACTATTCATGTTAATCTCCTCCCTCAGCTGAGGATTCTGGATCTTGCAAGCTCACAGGGATCTTGAGTATTGACTGCAGAGTAATTGCCCAGGTCCTGGCTTCTGCTGCCACCTTCATCATGCTCATGCACACTTCCTGTCTGGCCCTGGTGGGTGAATGAACCTCCACATTGATTTTTGTCCCTTTGGATTTGAAGGTGGGCAGGGTGTGGCTAGGCCTGTGCTCCCAGGGCCAAAGTGCTCCTAGCTTCTTTTTTTTTTTTTCTTTTTGTCAGTCATGGGGCTTGAACTCTGGGCCTGGGCGCTGTCCCTCAGCTCTTCAGCTCAAGGCTAGCGCTCTACC